AATTTAATCGAAATTGACATAGAACATTGACCTATTATCAGTTAATTCTTCAGTTATTGCGTAAGAAATTACAAAAAAAAACTTATTCAATTACTTTTTTTTCTATTTTCAGGTAAACTTTGTCTTATTTGAACAAAATTACAAACAAGAAGGTAGTTGAAAACCTTTTTAATATTCTTATTTCATGTTCTTTTTAGTTGGTTGTTTTCTTTTTTTACCATTTCAATTGGCTACATTAATTTCTAAATGATGGAAATGTTTTTATGGTGATCTAAAAATAAACTATTTGATAAACTCAAATGATAAAACAATTTGAGTTTTCTAAGTTTCTTTTTTTATTTCAGAAAGAAAAACCTTTCTATCAAAAGCGTTCTGCCAAATTTATCAACAATGTTTTTATTTAGAAGAATTAACTCAGATTGAGTGGTCTATCAGTAAGAAACAAAACAACGGAAGAGCCTATGAATTAAAAATTGGAGATAGAGAACATTATTTCGATTACTGTTTTGAAATTGAAACAAACACAAAGTCTAGATTTATCAGAATATCTTTTAATCGATAATACAATTTTAAAAGAGTTCCAGTTGTTTATATTACAATATACCAAAAAGACACCAATAAAAGTGTAGATCTTGATAATTGTTTTTTCATTGAGTATAAATCGAAAAAATCAAAAAAATGTTGATCGAAATTTCATAATTTGAATTGATTATTGAAACAATAATATAAACCAGACAAGAAAACCAATTTTTTTCATTTTGGTGTCAAAATTATATGTCATTTATGTCAGAAAAAATCAGTAAATTAACTGATTGGGAAATTTCATAAACATAGTTTTGTTCTGATCTATAAAAATTTTAAAATCTGTGATTACTTCATTCTGATTGGTTAATACCACAAATATTACTGTAAAAGAATGCTCGATTCTGATTGTTTGATATCAAAAAAGAGATACAAATTGCCTTTTAAATAAAGCTGGATTCTGATTGGTTGATATTAAAAAAGATAAAAATTTCCTTGTAAGGAATGCTTGATTCTGATTGGTTGATATCAGAAAAGATAAACATTTCCTGGTAAGTATTGATCGATTCTGATTGGTTGATAGCAAAACTTTTGAAAACTCTATGGTTAGATTGGATGAATTTTATTTCAGCTAGGCTAAATAGCATATCCATTCTGATTTTCTTGCACGTTAAAAACAATTGGTTAGGAAATTTGCTGTTTTTATTTACTTTCATTGATTATTTGAGGCTATTCTTTTCTTTTCTAAAAATTTGGGACATTCTAAATCTCCCATTTATTCTTTCTCTACTTATTGAGATTCCGTCACTGAATACAAACGAAAGATATGCATGTCTTTTATGTGGCAGAGAATACACACGTAAAGATGCGTCAAGACATCGTAGAACCTGCCGTGTTTTAAAGTGTCGAAATACACATAGCAGCGAGGAACTCACTAATAATATAAAGAAGAAGCATTGTCAAAATAATGTTAAACTATGTGCTCAGTACTCTCCAAACACACTCCGAGAGAAGGTAAAATTAATATTTTTTGGTTAAAAACATACAAACCACTATGAATATTAATTGTTACTGAATCTGAAAATCAATGAAGATGATTTTGAAAAACTTCAAGTAAAAACCATACAGTTTTTCATCAATGTTTCTGTTCTGTCATTTCTTTTTTATTCAAAGGTTCTGATTGACGATAAATTCAGCAACAACCGAGTTCAAACTTTCGTTAAACTTTCAGGGGATATCGATCCGAAAATCTTTAATCTACAGTAAAAACTCAATTGGTGGCAAGCTTGAGGAGATTATGTTGCAATAATTTTGTAGAAGTACATAACATACGCTAATAAGTATTTAAGAATTGGTTAAGAAGTTGTAAAAGCTGGATATTTATGAAACATCGATTAATTGAAAGATTTTGCCGAGTGACCGATTTAAAGTTTTCCTTGCTTAGTGCTTGTAAAAGTAATCATAGAGTAGTGCGTAGCACATATTGGGGATTGATTTACTAAGAATCAAGGTTTTCTACTGTTTTCTGACGATTTCAGAAAAAAAATTGAGAATTGACCTAGAAAAAATGAAAAAATATATATTTTTTATATTTTGTGAAAACTTCAACTTAATAATATACATAATCCTCAACCAAAAACTTGCTTCAAAATATTCAGAGTTGAAACAGCAACAAACAGTTATTAGGTTGAAAAAATCACTTGAAGATTTTTAGCAAAAGATTTATGGTATTAATTCTGCATCGGATCATTGAGCAAGAGTTGAAATGATACATTTTTCCATCTAAAATTCAGTTTTATGAAAATTTTGTTTAAATAGGATTAAGTTGGAAGATAGTAGACGAAGCAGAAACTGAGAAAGTTCTAAAATGAGATAGAAACTCAATTTACTTCTTTGGGAGTTTTGAGATAATTATACTAAAATTTAGCTTATAAATTTTATCTTGAGAAAAATCCCCAACATAAAAACTCTCGAAGGTTTATATTTATGTTAAATTTACTAAAATAATTAATTTCATTTGATTTATTAGGTAATTTTATACGAAAATTTAGGTGTTTTGAGGATAAATCATGTGGAGAAAACTCAACAACGACATCTTTTGGAAGATGCTACAGGAATGAGAAATCAAAAAATTTGCTTTCAAGATCTGCTTTTCAATATTTTGGATAAAAAACAAAAAAGAAGGATGTAGAAAGATTTTTAGAGAAAATAATATGGAGCTTGCTGAATCTATCTAAACAAACTGATTTTTTAGCAGAGCTAGATGTAAGATCTCTGAATTATATGAAATTTAACATGAAAAGATTCTAAAAGACACACAGTAAAAAATTTGTTCTGGTTAGCTTCATTTTTTTTAAATAAGAAAAATTAGGTAGAATTATAGTTTTTTGCGAGTTAAATTTCGATTATTAAAACTTTCAATTGTTGCAGTTTGTCCCTTAATTTTTCTTTAAAATCGATTTTTTTTTGTAACGCGCTCTTTTAGGAGTTTTTTTATGTTGCAGACGTTAGGAATTAGGTTCCCTTGCGTATTTCCGGACGTTTTCAAATTACAACCAATAAAGCTGCCCTTAATTTATTCTAAGAAATCAACGTAAAAATACAATTTTATTTTCTTTATATTTACATTTGCTTTCCAAAGCTTAAAACAGCACCGATTCTTTTTCTTTTCGTCACTTTTGAGAAAACTTCCGACACAAATCAAGAACAAAAAGCAATTTACAAACTATTTTGCAAAAACAGTGATAGTTAAAGATCTCAAAAACTGTATTTTTGCTTGAAGAGCTTTTTGTTATTTTTAAACAAGGGAACCTAAAGGAGAATATGTACAAACTACATCGTAATCATCAGACGATATCAGTTCTAATTTCATCTCTGCCAGCAAATTGTTCGTTCAATTGATACGATTTTCCTCCTAAATTATCCAATTCTAACCAAAATTTCTTGCGACTCGAGTTCGAGAGCGTAAACATGCAATAAGTAGAAAGCAGGAATAAGCTTAAGTTATAGAAAATTTCTACGGAAAAACCATGAAAATTATGTTGCAACAGAGAGATAATCATCAGTTTTGAAGAAGAATTTGTTGAATTTCATCTAAAATCTAATGCACTTTTTTTGAAAAAAATTACCTCAATTTAGTCAATTTTAGCAGTAAATTTTTCATTTTTCATCATTGATCTGAATTTTTTTATTTACAATATGAAAAATTTCTCAGAAGTTTTAATTTTTGTTTAAGTTTGGGTTACTCATTGAGAAAAACTGAGAAGGAGATGAATCACGGAGTTTCATCTAGAAAATTTAGTGAATACTGCGCTCATTGTTCATTTGAATTAAGATTCTCACTTAAATTCTCCCTTAAAAGGACAAAAAACCTGTTAATTACTCAAATAAAAGGTTGAAAATGGAAAAGTTTTGGATAGATTTGATTAATTTTTAATTTACACTCTCGAAAAATAAAATATTTTAAATATTTCAATATTGATTCAGCTATTATGAGCTTTATAGGTTCAGAGCATTATATAATTCGCTTTTTAGCTCAAATTATGGTAAACTTTATCGTATTTCAATATTTTGAGTGAAAGTTGTGGAAAAATCCATATTTTTGTTCAAATTTTTGTATCATTGTCTCAACATGATGCCAATTAAAATAAATTTTGAGCTCAATTTTAAACTTTGTGCGTAAAAATCGTTTTTTAATTAGATCAGAAGCAACAATTCATTAGCCAAAATCATGGGATTTCTGCAATTTGGAAGTTTTTTGAAAAATTTTTGATAAAAAATCCAAGTTTTTGCCCATCTTACCAATAACTTACCATGAACCAAAAACATAATACTTTCATTACACAATGTACACGTAATACTCGCCAATTACATAACGCGTGCTGAGGTTTTTGCGAAAGAAGTAGACATTTCCACACAAAATTCAAAAAACACCGTTTTTCTTTCCATTTTCTTACCATCACACTGAAACCTTACCATTACCTATCTTAAAAGATTGGGAAACATATTCCCTATCTTAATGAGTTCTTTATTCCCTACAATGAATCCTTATGCATAGGGAAATCTATACACTATCTTAAAACATGGTAAGATTAGGTCGCCAAAATTTTTTTCTGACATTTACCATCTGAAGTCTTACCATCTTAACACATTTGGAAACCTATTCCCTATCTTAAACCTATTCCCTATCTTAATACATTGGGAAATCTATCGCCTATGGCGAATTTTCAATGCGCGAATTAGTCGCCGCACTGAAATTTCAGTGCGGCGAATTAGTTTTTCATCGAAACGCACAATCTCAGTCACTTTGACAGTTGCTCACAGACTTACGCGCCCAATGAAAATGGGTGCCTTAAATGTCCAAATTTGTTATCCAACCTCGACCCGAGTTAAACAACAGAGGAGGTTTAGCATAACTGTTAACTTGATCTTTCGAGGGTACTTTATATTTGATTTAATTTGATTTGTGCTTATTTTAGGCTCCGACTTTAGGATTTTTTTGGGCGATTATACTTTAGAAAGGGGCTTCCGCAGAGTGGTTCACCCCTCAAGAATCTTCGTAGCTCCTGGGTGAGTTCTTTTAATTTCTGGATCATTTGAAATCTAATTCCAATACCATTTCCCAATGAGTTCTTTAAGATGTTCTTGTTGATGTTTTCGATGTTTTCCACTTAAAAGTGAAAATATGTTTAGCTTCAACCAGAGGGGCGTTCATCCCACCAACGACATCGCACTCGTCAAACTAGGCATCAAATCACCACATTATTGCATGATAAAGTAATTTGAGCTTAAACAAATTAGAACTGTTGAAAAAAGATTACTAAAAAAGTAAATAGGAGTCGAGAACGAACAAAAGTTGATTTTTGGCAATTTTTTTTTTCAAATCTGAAGGCAGCATGCGAATAGTTGAACTTTCAAAACTATTTGAAAAATCAATTTGGTCGGTCTAAAGGTTCGGCTAAAATACATTTCAACTAGATTTGCCTTTTGCAATGCAAAAAGCATGAAATGCTGCGACTACTGTCATCATTTCAGAAAAAAGTTTGCCAAGTTTTTTGTACATTTTGACGTTTTTGAGAGGGTGTCGTATACAGTAGCGAATTTAAGGGGACGAAGATTCGACCCCTGCCGACCCAAAAAGTCCCCTTTTGTTATATTTTGAGACATCCAATTTTGGCTGACGGGCCCTAAAATTTCTAAACACGCTTTCGGCGCCAATAATTTACTTAGTCTGAGGGGCCGTACGTCAAAAAAAACGCACAGTTTTTTGGTCAAAATTTTTCAAAAACTGTTTTAGAAAGACATTTTTGCCAGTTTTTTCACAATTTTGCCTGCTGCGCGCAAAGTTTTACCAAAACAGTGTCTTTTTAGTGTTTTGGCAGAACTCGAAATATCAATTTAGTCAATCTAAAAAAAAGGTCAACAAAATCTTCTATTTTTTTAAAAATCCGTCCTCCGTCCCCCTTTCGGAAAAATCCTAGATCCGCTCTTGGTCATAACTAAATATAACTAAAAGCCTAAGCATCCGCTATAAAATTAATATTTATGCTTTAATATCTAAGAAGATGACTCTTGATAACTGTATTAAAAGAAAATGTTAAGAAGAAGCAGAAAACTTCAAACAAAAATAAACATGAAACGTTTGTGGTCAAAACTTGAGGAAAGTTTCCGAAAACACGTTTACAAGTACAAAAAAACTGCTCGTGTCAGGGTGAAGTCCTAAATTTTCTGACAGCATTTTAATTTTGAATCAGTAAATTAAATTAAAATAATTGATGCAATTTAAATTTTTCGATTTTTTTCCCCACACGCTATATGAACGCACAGTTTTACGCATACGTTATATGATGTACATATTGATATATTTTGCATTTAGCAAGGTTTTAAATAGGCCAAAGAGCAAGTCTCTATCCAATTTGGAGCGAGTTCTAAGACGGATTGAATCTGCTTACGCGTTAAAAAGCACTTTAACTGACCCTATTTGGCAAAACTGGCAGTCTATGAACGCCATAAATTTACGTAAAATTGATCACAGATAAAAAAAAAATCGAAGTTAGCTCAGAAAAACAAAACTTTTTGAATGATATCAAACAGTTTTGTCTAAAATTGCTAGTTAAAAAGTCACAATTTGTCTGGAGAAAAAACCACGAGCACAATTTCTCCGTCATTTTCTCCGAGAATAGTCGGAACAAAAAAACTTAGAAGTAAAAATTAATATTGATAACAGTACTGCCATTTTCTCCGACCAAGCGAAAAGCTAGAAAAAGTTTACGTCAACAAATTTTCCGATATTGGTTTTCCTCTGTCAAAGTTTTCCTGTTACTCAATCTGCGAGCAATATTTTTTTCAGTAACAGGCTAAAGGCTTTTTAGGTTTAACCCAAAAATTTTTATTTTTTTTCAGCACTCGGTTGCCTCTCAAAATTAATATTTACTGGCGCTAGAGACGCCTTCAGAAATTTTTTTATGGTCGGTCGACAGAAAATGAATGACGTAAAACAGTACCAAAAGGAGAACTTTTGTGTAATGAAGGGTGGATTTTCTGAGGGGGAGGGGCATCGAACCCCCAAATCGACCCCAAATTGCAAATTAACTGATGCGTTCTACAACCCACCCCATGACCCACCCCGTAACCTGATTTAATGGATCTGTTGTTTTCACTTTAAAAACAATTTCAAAAACCTATAAAAAATATCAAAAACCTAGATTTCAAAGAGCATTTATTCATAAACAAAAGTTAAAGACTTGATTTGATGCCATGTAAGTGGAGCAAGTGAGGCCTGAAAAGATCATTACATTGTGCAGGAGTGAAGTGGATCATGGAACACATGTGCGCATGAGTGGACTAGGCGCCACTTCTAATAAATATAGGATTGCACCCTTGCTCTTTTCCAATTTTTTGAACTCTCAAATTTTGTAAAAGAAATATGGACAGAGTTGGTAGTGCAGTGGTTCTTTTTGAACAACAGTTTTTTACAAAAGTAATTTGAATACCAACAACTTCACTATGCAAAAATTGTCAAAAAAATTGAAAACAAAACTAATTGTTTTGATGTTTTTGCTAATTGTCCCACCACACGCTAATTAAAACTCTTAAGGTATGTATTTATCGTTTTGTATCCTAATTCGACATGGAAAGCAGTATCCCGGCGCTTGCGCGTGGTATAAAAACGCAATCTATAGCGCGTCAATTGTCGCAAACAACTTCTTAACAAAATTTGAACACAGGTAAAAAAAGTTCTTTATTGAGCGAAAACAAATAAATTGTTCGTTTGCTAGACAAAAAGAATTCATAAAAATTGTTTTATTCAAAAAATCGAAATTTAACTAAATAAACAAACTCCATCCCCCCAGCATAAGTATTCCACTTTTTCCTGAAAAGTCAAAACATTATGATAACTCGAGGCTGAACCCCTGAATTTTCCGACTACTAATTAAGCAAGAATTGAAACAAAAGTTGTTTACAATTCAAGTATGTTTTATATTAACGGAAAAAGTGTGATATATATCGCATTTTCAATACAATATTTGGATACATTAGCGTGCCTCAGCTCAATTTGAAATAATTTTTGAGCTGAATTAAATTGACGCGCTTTCTAAAAACTTTTGAAATGAAACAAACGGAATTTCACAAATTTTACTTATCTCGACTATTGGCCAAAACAGTCCTTAAAATGAATCTTTATAACTTCAAGTAAAATAATCGAAAGCTATTGATATGTTTTTTATGAAACTCTTGTCACAGCACAACACATTAAAAGCTGTTAAAATACGCATTGAGAAATTGAAATTGAGCCATAACACAGGATATACCCTAAAAAACTTTTGGAAGCCAACTTCTACGAGTCCAAGTTCAAATCCACGGATATTTGGAACATGGAGTTCTGTCCACCGTATCTCATCTGCGTGGATCCCATCACTAGAGGAACTAACATTTGCTTCCAGGATGACGGTGGTCCACTCTACACTCGTGTTTGTGAAACATATCAGGAAGATTGCTTGTTAGGTAAGTACAAGTATCATACTTGGGTCCCTAAAATTAGTTGCGTTCCTGGAATCTTCGAAAACAATGGTTGCATTTCTAAATTGTTTTTGAAATTTTCCCAAAAATTGTGGGACATATCTTCCATCGCTGCTTTTTCCTGGGACCCAAGTATCATACTTAACAATAATAACATTAACAACAATAACAAATTGTTTCCAGTATAAGACCACATTTATCAAAATTTTGTTTCTCTGAATCACCATCTCAAAAGAACCCATTCTGGGAGATCTTCATTAGACAATTTATGCATGTTTTCAGACGTCTCTGCGAGCTGCTTGTTCTATTAGGTACCGTCTCTCTTCACTTCGTCGTTTACCTATCTTTCCTTCCCCCACCTTTGCTAGTTTTGTCCGATTGCAAACAATTTTTGCGTGAAACTGATTTTTGTAATGCAAGTTTTTGTCTGAATTAGAACCAAGTAAAATTATAGTAAAACCACGTAGAGGGCGCAGGCTTGCCTTTTCCAAACTATTTCCTGACATCAGATAAAGGGCACCAGCACCGGAATCCATGGATAATAGTCGATTATAATGGAAAACTGTTTGCTAAAATGTTGTCATTAAAATCCATTATTGTTACAAATTTAGACCACGAAATCGATTATATTGCCATTACAATCGGTTACTTTCGGCAAAAAACACAATCCATTAAAATCCATTATAATGAATTATAATCCATTTAAAAACCATTATAATTGATTATAAACGATTATATTCTTTACATTTTTTGCAAAACCATTTGCGAAACTTGCAACATTTCTGCGTTACTCACGGCCTACTCGCAATCTCAACCTACTCAAATAAACCACCCCACCCCCCATGTTTGTTTACCATTGAACGGGGACGGGGGAGGGAGGTTACTCGGTTGTTCCGGCACCCATTTTTTACCCCGCCAATGTTCAGTAACGGGGTGGGCGTTAAAACTAGGTGTGGGGGGGGGGGGGGGGGGGTAAAATGAGGAGGGGTTAAAGGAGGGAAGGGGGGTAAACGGAGGGTGTAAATTATAAAACCCCATCCCCCAAAGTCTACCAATAAATACCCCATAAGGGAAGTGGGGGGGGGGGGGGGTGTAAACAGGGGAAAAACGGAGGGGGGGGGGGGGGTAAACAGGGGGGTAAACAAGGGGGGGGGGGGTTAAACAGGAAGGGGGGTAAACGGGTTATATAAGACAAAAATATAAAAATTGAAATGTGAAATGTAATATTTTATGAAACCTTATACGTACCCGCAACCAGTTCCAAGCGTTTATCATTGATTATAATATGATTTTAGTACCAGTCTTACAAAAATTGAGAAAAAATTGATTCTAATCAATCAATAATCGTTATAATTTATCTTTTTGAAATCAAATGTAGTCAATTATAATACATTATAATCGATTATAATCGATAATTTTAATCCGAATTTCTAATTTTTTTGTTTTGCAGAAGCAAATCCATTGTAATCGATTATAATTGATTATAATACTTTTTGTTTGCCAATTTTGTCTTCGACCTACCACCTGAATTGCTTATATTTTATGCTTTCCGTAGACGTTCTCAATTTTTTTTTTGAGTTATAATTCTTTATTATGGATTATAATCCATTATTATTCAACAAAAGTTATCGCTTCGTTTCGTTTTAGTTTTGTTTTGTTTTGTATGCCTTTCACGTGGTTACCGAAATAAAAGAAATTGTAATTTTGTACCTATAGCCAACAGCGGATGCAGTAAGGGATTCGACCCCCTACCCTTAGGGATTCGACCCCTACCGACACAAAAGGTCTCCTCAATGTCCCCCACTATTTTGAGATCACCCCCACTATTTTGAGGTCCCCCAGCTATTTTGAGATATCCATTTTGGCTTACTGATCCTAAATTTTTTTAACGGCGCCTAATATGTTTTAATTTTGACTGGGTGCGCGGCGCGCCGGAAAAAAGCAATTTTTGGTCAACATTTCCCAAAAACTGCCATAAAAATGCCTTTTTTGGTCCGTTCTTTTTACAAATTTTGCCTACGGCGCATAAAAATTGAAAAAAGGGTCTTTTTAATGCCTTGGGAGAGCTTGAAATCAATCTAGTCAACCTTCATAAGGTTTAGGAGACCACCGCTTGCTAAAATCCTAGATCCGCCCCTAGTTTACTGATTGTTACTTTTTACTGATTTTTACTCTGTTTTCATGCAGAATAGCTAAATTATAATTCATTGTAATTGAGTTTTTTTTGTGAAATAATATTTTAATAGAAAGAGGGATCATAAACTATTATAATAGATTATAAGAGATTGTAAGAGATTTTGGGAAAAAATATAATCAAATATAATTGATTATAATTTATTATATTGTCACGAAAAGTTTTATCCTTATATTGGATTAAAAATCGTTTAAACATCTAAATTTGCCGCTTGTATTTAATTATAATTGTAATATAATCAATTTTTCTCTCTTTTTACTGAGTGCGGGTAGCAACTGCACTAAACAGAAAAAGAGATAACTTTGAAAAAATTATAAATTTCATGACTAACCTCTCGGAAAAATCCATTATAATCAATTATAACCGATTTTATGGATTAATGTTGGCATAAAAATTATAATATATAATCCATTTTCAATAGATTATAATCGGTTATAATTGAATATAATCGATTATAATGGATTTTATGGATATAAAAACACTAGGATTATAATACTTTTTCGATGAATTATAATTTGTAAGTTTTGTAATTTTATAGATACTGGCCATAAAATGACAATATAATCGACTATTATCCCTGTAACTCCATTGCGGACAAGTTGTGATATGATTTGTCAATAGTCGATTCATTTTTCCGTAGTTTCAAAGTTTCACAACTTTAAAAAATTAATTTTTGAAAAAAAAACTCCCCAGCCCAACTCAAGAGCAACGTTCTATCTCTTCAGAAATTTGATATCACTTTAGAACATATCATTTTTTAAAAATTATTGTGACCAGATAAGTTGCTAATCACCAGTTAATTGTGTTGTTCTTCTAGGCGTGGCTAGTTTTTCCAGAAGAAGATATCTCGAGCCCTGTTTTGGGGGAAGCTTCTTTGCAAGTGTACCATACCATTACGATTGGATTATCAGAACGATGGTAGAAAACTAGCAGAGCTGAAAGCCAACAGAATTACCACACAAAAAATAAGCTTAGATAACTTTCTGAAAACCTTCTGAATAAACGCTGTGTGTGATTTTGATCTCAGATTGAGTTGAAAAAATTTAAAAGCAATACGTTAAAAGCATAATTTCATATCTACATTTGCCGCGGGGCATCAATAGGGAGAGGTAAATAAGTTTTCTCGGGTTTTCTTGACTTTCTAAAGTGTAGCTTGTCTTACAATTTATGTGAAAGTATAGAACTTTGGCCAAAAAAATGAAGAAGTGCCAATGAGCCGAACGCTGAACCTGAACGACTGATTGTTTCAAAAATCATCTATGGATTTTCACAGCCAAAATTGCATCACCCTAAACTTCAAAAAAGTTTTGATTTCAAGTAAAGTGCTTGAGACATTTTTACACTGGCATCTCTAAATTGATACCATTTTTAAAACGCAATCAAAACTATTTCCCCGTAATTTGCAATTAAGTGAACTCAAAGAGAAATAAGAACCTAAACAACTATAAAAATACATTTTTTTCTGAAGTAAAGAACAACAAACAACATAATAACGACATCTAAAATAATAGAGCATAGTCTATTAACTCTTTGAGGCTCACTTCTTTTTCACAACAGACTCGCTTTTTATGAAACAAAATCAATTTGAATCAAGAGGTGTTTTTTATAATCCGCTGACAAATTAATTTATAAACTTCAAAGCTGAA